ATAGTGAAGAAAACACTGACTTCTAAATGGGACAGATTTAAAGTGAAATACTAGAAGAAACGGTAGAGGAAAGAAAGAGAGAAAAACATTACTGAGGGCCCCAGGCTCCATTTTCATAGGAATTTTGCCCTCAGGATTTTTCCCAGGAAGAAAAAAGGGTAGAAAGGGAACAAGACAGATCACGCCAGAAAGGCTCCTGGTAATATGGCCCCAGAAAGTGTCTGCAGGCCTTTGTTTAAGCGGGACCTCAGAACACAAGTGTTTCAGAAAGCAGAGACGGACATCCATGTGCTGGAAATCAGCCATATTTGAAAACCCAGTGGCACAAACAATTCCGTTTGCCCAGGGCCTCCATCCTGATGTACCATGCGTCACCCTTTAGCAAGCAGGCGTCAAGGGCTGCATCAGGGGGACCCTCTCGGGAGAGATTATTGTTTACTAAGCTCTTTTATTCTTCTGGCAGAAGATGCTTAAAATTTTAATCAATCCATCTTAATCAACCCTTTCAAGCAGCAGGGCCACTTTTAGGGTCCCTGCTTCAAGGTGAGGCCGCTGCAATAAGATCAAAACGAAAATTGCATTCCTGGCCTTGGTCATCCAGAGCCGGGGCCTCTGAGTGTCCTGCGGAGAGGAAGTGACCAGAAGCTTGAGCGTCGAGGATGCAAGGGAAACGTGGAGATGCAGTCTTGCCCACCTCCGAGTCCTCAGACGAGAGGAAACTCCCCGGGCTGGAGAAGACAGAAGAGATACAGGGAGGATTCCTCGAGGATATGGATGCTGGCAGCTCCTGGACAAACGGGCCTTCTGTCCCTATCTCCCGGCTGAACGCTGCGGAAGCAGGGAAACCCGAGGCCCTTCCTAAACCCTGAGACGGGAGGGCTGAGCCCGTTCCCCAGGGCTGAAAGGGCTGCGGTGACTCCAGGCCGCAGGGCCCGGCCGCCGACCGTCTGGCGGAGATTTCCGGGCCTCTGCCCGGCTCTGGGCGTGAAAAGAGCCCAGTGACGCCTCGGACACGGAGCGCGGCCGGAGAGGCGCCGGCGCGTGGACCACTGAGCAGAAAGCAGGGCGGCGCAGGCAACGCGGACCAGGAGCATCCCCGGTCACCGTGCCTCCGCGCGGCCCCCTGGGCCTCCGGGCGCTGGCCCCAGAGAGCAAGGCAGCTAGGAGCCTGGACGGACGGAGCGGGGTTTTCTTCCACCCCGGCAGAGCCAGGACTTGATGCAAAATTAACCAGAGTTACAGAAAAAACAACAGGGGCTTCCCTGGGGGCTCAGAGGGTAAAGCGTCTGCCTGCAATGTGGGAGACCAGGGTTTGATCCCTGGGTCGGGAATATCCTCTGGAGAAGGGAATGGCACCCCACTCCAGTATCACCGCCTGGAGAATCCCATGGACGGAGGAGCCTGTAGGCTACAGTCTATGGGGTCGCAAAGAGAAACCACTGAGCGACTTCACTTTCACAGAAAAATAAACGCTGACAGCTCCTGTCTACCTGATCTGTGATGAGCAGCCTTATGGAAACCTAAAAATAAATAAATAAATAAAACCCACCGCAGTCCCGAGGTGCGACTGGCTTAGCTGCGGAGACACACAAGCCCGCAGAAGGGCCGGCGGGACGCGCCGGGCGGAGGAGCATCCTCTGGCTCCTGGCCGTCTCCTCCGTCTCAGGTTCCAGGCTGAGAGGCGAGAAGGCCCGGCAGAGGGGTCGGAGGCCCTTGGTACCCCGCACTGCGGTCAGTTCCTGAAGCAGAGCCGCTCTGGCAAAGTGCTTAGAAATGAAGCGCAGCTCCCACACGCTCAGGAACCTCGGTGAGCTCACGTTCCTCTCTCAGTTGTTCCGGAGGCTACCCTTACACCTGAAGCTCGGGGCTTTTTTCCAACTGTTCAAATGCCCTTGTTTGAGACGGGCACCAAGTTTCCCTTCCAAAGCAGCCGCGGTGGAGGAGGGAGCCCAGGCCCGGCCGCCTCCACGAGGCATCCCCCGAGGGGCTGCGGGCTCAGACCCTCCGAGCAGAGCCGGGGGAGCCTGGGTCCGAGGACGAGGCTGTGCGCGTTGAAACACTCAACAGCGAAGCCGAAGAGACTCCGGGTCACTCAGTCCCAATAACGCGGGCTCTGCTACAGGGCGGCCTGGGGACCGGTCACTGGCGCTGGAGGAGGCTGACGCACAAAGCCTCCGAATCCCAGCAAGGAAGCAGGACTGCCTGAATTTTAAGCAAAAAACCTTGGAACGACAACAACAAATACGTTAAGGGGGCTGGCCAAGGGCAAGTCAATAAATAAAAAAAGGGAAAGACGGGCTCCCTGGTGTGGCTGCCAGAGGTGGAGATTGATTCCTTTAAACGTGCTGCAGGAGAAGCTGCGTGGTGAGGCACTTCATATTTCTGCTTCTAATCCCACCCTCTCCGGCTAACAGGGGAGCGCGCTGGGCCCGATGCACACGGCCGGGCCGGCCAGATAAGGGAAATGGATTCCTTGAGGCTGCCTCCCTGCAGTCTGCGGTCTGGGAAATCACTCGTGCTGTCTCGGGATTCCTCTCTAGAGTGTGGGGAGAAAGACGACAGGAGCATCTCCTGGGGTCCGCGGCGTCCCCTTAAGCCCAGAGCGGGGCCCCAGAAGGTTCGATCTACCTGCTAATATTTCAGTGACACCCGGAGGGCCCCTTGCCTGCCTCCTCCAATTGCTGCCAGCTGCTCAGAACTCTGCTAGGTAAGCCCAGCCTTCCTTGCCACTGTTAGATAGAACTTCACAGTAAGGTGTAAGTGACTGACAGCGTATTCTTTCCCAAGAATGGGTTTTGATAAGAGAAAAATAAGAAGGAAGTGGAGCTATTATTGATGGCTGGAGGAGTGCCTTGGAGGAGGGAGGAAATTCTGTGTTGGGGGAAATGATGAAAAGCTGGAAAGGTGAGGTTGCCAAAAGCTGATCCCTTCATAATTTTCCAGGGGGCCTGTCTTACTCAGAAGCAATGAAATGGCTTTGCTGAGTCATGTGAAAGGGTCATTTGGAAGAATCTAACAGCTGAGAGATCTTATGTGTTCTATGTTATTAACACGGATGTCGGGAGAACTCCCACTGGAGCACCCTACAGACACTTGGCCTTCTCCAGCTCTGGCTTTCTGGGTTACGCAGCCTCCGAGTAAAGTATACTTCTAACACCTGCCCAGGGAGCTCAGTGCAGCGCCTGTGAGGCAGCGTTCAGAAACCATCAGAATCCGCTTGGGCCTGTCACGAATGATGGACCCAAAGTGCTCTTGATCAAAAAGTCTTTTCATCATGAATATCCCAATTCTTCCTAAGTTATGAATTTCACATGACCTCAGTAGAAGTACTAACAGTTCTTTTTTGTGCCTAAACAAGCTGTTTTTAGAGGGCAGCGGTGCTAGAAACCAGCTCTTGTAGATATGAGAACATAATGAAAAGCCTCAGTATTTAAAAGGTGTGACACTGCCACATAAGAAGACAGACCCTCAGAAGAGAATAGAAATTATAGGAGAAAAAATACGTATAGAATTTAGTATATGATAAAAATGGACTTTTTCTGCAGGGTGTTGGGACAACTGAGTATCATATGCTAAAGGAGAAAATTGGATCCATACTTTACACTGTACAGCAAAATTAATGATTTAAATGTGCAAAATGAAACCATAAAAGTACTAGAAGGAAACATGGGAGAATTCTTTTATAATCTTGGTATAGAAAAGGCCTTTTTAACTATGACTAAACATTTAGAATCCATAAAAAAGGAGATTGATAAATTCAGCTACAAAAAAAAAAAAAGCTTTCTCCATGCAAAAGTAGAATCATCAAAGAGAAAAAATAATTGCAACTCATATATAGACAAAGTGATAATTTCTCTATATAAAGAGCTCCTAGAAAAGACAAAGAGGCTAACAAACCCAAAATAGAAAAATGAACAAATGACATGAGCTGACAGTTTGTAGAAAAAAGAAACTCAACGGCAAAACATATATCGGGATTATCAGTGTCACTCGTTACAAGAGAAAGGCAAACGGAAACTCTACAGAGATGTTATTTTTCCCTATGAGATTGACAAAAATCCAAAAGTAGGACAAGACACTCTGTTGGTGAGGCAGGAAAAGAGGAATTCTTATCCACTGCTGGTCAGAGAGCAAAATGGCAAATTTGGAGGCAGATAATTTGTCAGTAACCTTCAGAAAAACAATGCAGCTGCCAGACTTCTGCTTCAGCCAAGATAGAGTAAGAAAAACCAAATTTGCTCTCGCATCTCAAATAGCAGCAGCAGGAGAAAGGAAGAAACATTTGAGGCAAAAGCTCTTAGACTTGGCTTTACGTGTCAACTTGACTGGGCCATACTGTGCTCAAATATTTGGCCAACCACTCTTCTGGGTGTGCCTGTGAAGATGCTTCTAGATGAGAATGACATTCAACTTGATGAACTGAGTCAGGCAGGGTTCACTCCCTAATGTGGGGGCCTCATCCTGCCTGTTGAGGTCTGAGAAGAACCGAAAGCCTGAGCCCACTGTGAGTACGGGGGATTTCCTCCTTGCTGACTGCCTTCAAGCTGTAACACTGGGTTGGCTTTTGTTTTGCCTGTTTTCAGACACAAACATTGGCTCTTCCTGGGTCTCAAGTCTGCCAGGCTTCAGACCAGAACTATACCACCCTGGTTCTCAGGCCTTTGGTCTTAAACCAAAACGACACCATCATCTCTCCTGGGTCTCTAGCTTATTGACTAAGGATGTTGGGACCTGTCGGCCTCCATAATTGCATGAACCAACTCCTTACAATAAATCTCTAATCCATACGCTGTTAGTTTTCCTCTTTTCTGGAGAACCCTGACTAATACAACAGTGAACGCTGAGAGGAAATAAACAGACAAGGTGAGCCTGTGGTTGCTGCAGTCAACCGCCTGGAGAGAGTCAGGTTCCCACCCAGGGAGGAGAAAGAACCCACAGCCTTGCTAAGTTGAGGAGATGGAATGCAGAATTCTGAGAGGCCAGGAATTCGCAGGGCAAAGTAGCAGAGAGGTGAGCGCTCAGAAAGCTCAGAGATCACTGGTCGCCCCAGCGAGGACTCTCTGATCCAGGAGCTGGTCTCAGCTCTGGGCTCTTGTGGTGGGAGCATCTTTCCGGATTGTGATTCTTGACTTTAAAAGACCCATTTCCTATACAACAGGGCCTCTAAACCCCAACCCTCTGCTTCTCTTGGTGCATAATGTAAGAACAACTGTCAACTCGGCTGTGCTGGACTCAACGGAAGACGTGTTCGTTTCTAGCGTGGTGCCTTTCTGAGAGATTTCCAGAGGCTGTGTGGACCACCTGCTGTTTTCACCCGAGGTGGGTTTCATCTCTGTGCAAAAATGCAAATCGAAGGAAATGGCAAGAGCGCTGGGTTTGGTATCAGGAGGCTTATTGTGGGTCTTGGTCTGTCACCTAACCTCTCTGGCTTTGTTCCCACCTTTATACAAGGAAATCGCTCTTCTTCATGGTCTCTAAAACCCCTCGAGTTCTAGAAGTCTACAAAAATTTCTGATAATGCATCCCAGTCACAAAGAATTTACAGTGCTCCAAGATAAGGCAGAATTGCACTAGTTCTAGAATATATGGTTATGCTATTTCATCTCACAATGAGGTTTAATTAACTCTCCTTTCCACTGTTGGGAGCCTCGGTGGAATAACCGTCTTGGCGCGCCGTGCAGTTTCCGCGCCCTCGTTGGACACTCCAGACACCCCACTTGCTGTCCTGGGGGCAGGAAGAACCGTGGAGGGCGGTAGTGCTCTATGCACCGTGGAAAAGGCACGGCATAGCTGCCACCCGCTTCCTCCCCTCCGCGGCCCCAGAACAGCCGCAGGGCTGGGTGCCAGCTACGTGCCACGAGGAGGAGTTAGCCCGGTGGATAAATTTTGTTCCTTCGGCTGCCTCGAGCAGGTGGAATCATCTCAAGCAAGTGTGACGAGCTGGGCTTTTTCCTACAGCCTTGTTGAAATAACCAGTGGCCCTAGGCTCCAGGGCCACCGGGGAACGTCTGCCTTAACCACACTGTATTCATCTTTCAGCCGAAGCAGACCTTCAAACATCAGCCCAAGTCGTCCGGGCACTGAGTGCTTTTGTGACCCTCCCTGGAGGCGGCTGGCTCCAAACCCTGGGAACGTGTTATATGAAAAAATAAATGCCTTTTTTTTTTAACCATCTGTGAATGAAAAACATTCTTCATATGTTTAACTGTTTCAAACTGCCATATGTCACACACACACACATACACACACACACACACACGGCATACTTGCTGGGGGCTGGGATTGAGTTGGTACTAGAGATTCTGGGCCCCTCTTCCAACCCTCTGCTTTTCCTTTCAAGGAGGCTATAGGTAAAAAGCTTCCAGGTTTGCACCCACCCAGAAAGGGCTCAATTTAAGTCTTGGTGGGGGAGCGGCTGGCTTTTCTGGAATTTCGACCATCTGCCGCAGCCTCCCTCTCCCCTTGCAGCCATTCACGCAGACTGCCCCCACGCTGCAGCAGAATCATAAACATCTGAGGGCTAAAACCTCGGCAAAATAGGGCAACGCGCTTTATGGTGCTTTATTTTACAAGAGGGATAGGTGGGTAGAGAGAAAGAGAGAAGAGACTAAAAGAACCTTCTGAACTCAACTGTCCCTCGTCAACTGAGGAAGAGGACTAATCAGTTTCTTTCAGAGACTTTGGTTGTTTGCTTGCTTGAATTAATTTCTGGAAGAACTAACAAGCCAGAGCTTTCCTAATTGTCTAAAATTCCTCATGCATCGGTCCAAGCTGTTAGGGGATGAGGGCAGAATCCCGCAGGCTACCCACTGCCAGTCTCATCTTATCACGGTGACTGAGGATCGGTCAGTGAGCCAGCTCGTGGCCCATGGAAGACATGATTCTCTAAATCTAAAAGAAACCCTCCATGGGGGACCTTTAAAATTGACTCACAGGTATTGCAGTTGGCACTAAGAGTCCTTTTATAGCAAGCAGTGGGTCCTGATGTTTGCTTACCCAAATCAATCGCCCACCTGACTTGCTGGCACAAACGTTTCTTTGCCCCGGAGGGTTGACACTGGGTAGGGTGCCCGTTCCACGGGGGGAGGGTTCCAATGTAGTCATGGTCGTGTGGCCCAGGTCTGGACGAGGAGATACGGGAGGCTTAGAACTTTTGCGGAAAGCTGAACAATACAGGAAACATTCACTAATATCTGGTTTTCCTTTACTTCTGAATACTTGGAAGACTGTACACCCCTGTCCCCTGGGAGTGGGGCGGGGCCATGGCCGATTTCCGGCCGACGGAATCAAAGAGGAAGTCACGGCGAACTCTAAGAGGAAGTCATCTCAGGCCAAAAGATTTAACAGCAGCCTCCTCTTTCCTTGCCACCACAAATTCCGACACTCTTTTTAAAATGAGAACTTCAATCAGTCTGGGCCCATTAGACTAAGCCAGCAAATTTGTATAAGACATGGAGCATGAGCAAGCAATGTATTTTTATTGTTTTTAAGCCACTAAGATTGGGAGGTTGTTACTGCAGTATAATTTATTCTATCATGACTGATATAGCTTTTCTTTCTCTGGAGAAACAGACAGAAGATGCAATAAGAAAGAGTTTCTTTTCCTACGCTGGAGACTATTTTGTAAGAAATGACGCTGGATCAATTCATTTCAGAGAAGAGTGCCAACACATAAAAATCTCAAGGAGCCAGGCTCTTGGCAACATCACTGAACCACAGCATAAACCTAGAAGTCACCAGGTTTCTTATGTGAAATAATAAACATCTCGTTTTGGTGCCACTTTCAATCAGATAGTTATCTGTAGTCAAAAGCATCCTAACTGATACACTACAGAAGAGGTTATCTGCCTTTCTCCTTTCTGTGTCATTTTTGTCTCTATCTATCCATCCATCCATCCATCTATCTGTCTATATGACGAACAGATACATCATTTATTTTTCAGGCCACACTAGCAATAGAAAACGAAACACAGTGAAAGACCCCCGTGGTTTTAACCAAAGGCTTACAGATTCCCCGGACGCTGGCTCCACGACATCACCCTGGGGATCACTGGTGCTGCGCTTACTGGGGACCACCTCCAGGAGCCCATAGAGATTCTCAAGGGATCCCTGGAGAGCTGAGGGGTCATCTGAGCTATAGGGCCTCTTTCTTGGCTGCTTTCAACCATTAATGGACTCCGTCTACAGACATGTTTCCCGTGTTATAAGCTCACTGCGGAGCTTTCCTTAGTGACCTCAGGGAACAACATGTTGCTAACTGCTGTGAAACAGAGACAGGGAGCCTGGGCAGAGAGGTGAGACAGACAAACGGACAGGCCCGCTGAGTGTGGGGCTGCCGCTGTGCGCTGTGGGCCGCCAGGAGCCCACCACGCTCTCCTCTGGACCCCGGTCTGCGGGGTCCCCCCTCTGTGTCCAGCGCTGGTCACTCATGACAGCCGCTGAGATCGTTCTGCATGCCCCAACCTCCTCCGCCAAGGGCCGTCAGGCCCTCTAAAGGCTTGGCTCTGCAGAGACTGAGGCCCAGAGGTGGTTTAAAACTCTTCTTTCATCCCCTACTTGCCACATTGCGTCCCTACGTTCCCCACCCCCAACCAGCGGTTGTTCTAGGGCGGTCGGACCATCCCTTACCTGGAAGGTGGCCTCCCAGGCGTCAATACAGGGATTGGAAGACGGCATTCATCTCTGTTCTTTCGTGTCTGGACCAAAGCTCCCTTCAGAGCTTGAGATGGAATGGGTTATCCGGAAGCTGACTTGGGGATACAAGATTTGCTTTTTTAAGAGTGGAAGAGCTGTGAATAAAACGTAGAGAAGGCAGAATTAGCAGAGGAAGAAGGGAAGCTACGGGACCAGACCGACCAACCTCGCCCACCCCGTGCACCATGCTGGGCTAACGTGGCCAGGTCTCCTCTGCGTGCAGGAGGGGCTCCAGGGTGATCGTGACCCTGAGCAAGGAGCCCCACGGCCGGGCAAACCCCAAGTGAGCTGCCCGCTGGAGCCGCGTCTCCCGGGTCCTGCCCCAGAGGAGAGCTGGCCGACCTGCTGGGGTTCATCACCACCCACCCTCAGCGCCTCTCAGAGCCCCTTCTGCACGTGTATTTGGTGAGCAGCCCCTCTGGGGGCTCCGTGAGCCCCCTTGTGGAAAGGGGGAGACAGGTGGGCTGTCACCGGCCCACCCTGGGACCGTCTGAGAGGCACGTGCCTTCTGGACTCACAGCTCATGCTGCTTCCCCCGCCCCTGCTCGGGGACCAGCTCAGCTGACCCAGCCCATCCTCTCCCAAGGTCACCTCGAGCTCCGATGGAGTTGCTGAGTCTGCCCGTCCACGGTCACCACTAGGTGAGGAAGGAGAAAGGGGCACCCGTTTGGTCCCATGCACATCCCTCTCGGGCCCTGGGGTGGCAGAGAAGCCCGCCCCGCCCTCCCCTTGACGGTGGAGCTCGGCTCCGTCTGGATCCACTCGTGCCTGGACACAGAGGCCCTACAAGGCCTGAGTGGCCACCACAGGGCGAGCCTGCCCGGACTCCGGCTGAGTCTCTCGAGGACGCCTGCCCCTGTGGGACGGCTCTGGGCCGTAGGGACAGAAAAGCAGGAAGTCCCTGGGGCATCAGCGGGACGGGGGTGCGGGCCACGCCCACCTCCACCTGCTAGTCCCGACCAGGTACTCTTCCAGTCGAGAGCAGGGCGCCATGGGGACACAGCACCCGGGAGAGGCCTCTGGTTCAGTGCATGCATTGTATCCTTCGGAGCAGCGGGGACGGTGACACCCCAACCAGGGGAACCCGCGGTGGTGCACCGCTCCTCATATCTTTGCTGGAAAGTGGGTCCCCTGATGGGGTCACTGTGACATGGAATCCTATGCCCATGGGTGAAATGCTGCAGGAGCCCCGGGGAGGGCAGGGCCCGCTATGCCCTGGGGCGGTGGGAAAGTCACACGTGGGTCCGTTCTTACAGCAACAAATGGAAGGGAAGAGGCTCAATATGACGAGCTCCCCACCAAGTGAGCGGCTGATGTCCCTCTGGACTAGGCCGTGGTGGGCGCTCAGGGTCAGCCGCTGTCACGGGAAGGTGGGCCCACCAGGGCGCTCAGGGTCAGCCGCTGTCACTGGGAGGTGGGCCCACCAGGGCACTCAGGGTCAGCCGCTGTCACGGGAAGGTGGGCTCACCAGGGCGCTCAGGGTCAGCCGCTGTCACGGGAAGGTGGGCCCACCAGGGCACTCAGGGTCAGCCGCTGTCATGGGAAGGTGAGCCCACCAGCAGAGGAACTGGAAAATCCACCTTGGGCAGCAGGCTTCCTGCGTGTGGGTTCTGTTGCTGTGCCCACTCCGTCCACGTGCCCACCATGCCATCTCCATGACTGACGACCAAGGCTGGGTGACGGCGGCGGGCCTGGGCATCTTGTCTACTTGGCTGGTGAGCGCTTTCTGGAGTGGCTGCTCTCTAGAGGCTTCCGCGTGGTGGTGTCACTGGCCCTGCTCATCAGCACGCATCTTCCCCAGACTTGGCCTTTTACCCAGATTTCTAGCCTTTCTTCCACCGAGCAGCTAACCAGAGAGCCGGGACATTTGCTCTCTCTGGCCCACATATATATCCTGGCGTATGTGCCGATGAAGCAAGCACAATAGCCCACAGCCCAAAAATATATACATATATTCAAATCTAGGGTCATTTCTCTTTCTGTAGTTTGAAGACCAGATGCATCGGGGAACGGCCCACTATCCCTTGACACGGTCTCTCTAGTCCACTGCTAATAAGGTTCAACTGAGGCTGCCGCCCATTTTTGACTTAAACTGCACATTGAGCCAGGCCATCTCTATACTGAACTCAGGCATTTCCCTCTGTTTTCAGCTGGCCATACAAGATGCCCTACACCCGCATCAGCTAGTGCTGAGACGAGGGAGCGTGGAAAGAGGGCGGATGCTCTGGGTCTGGGCTACCTGTTCATAGAGTATATTAGGTCCTGCTCACATCTGATCCCAGATGGATCATGTCCATCTTGTGATGAAGTGTTTCAGGGCGCACCCAACCTCCTGAAGTGGCAGGTCGGACAGGACCCAAACCCTAATGGCGAATGCAGGCTGCCCATGACTTAGCATGGCCACCTGTTCACACGGGGCTGTGGGATTTCCCAGGATGAAAGGCTTTCAGAGTTAACAGTGAAAACCCGGGGAAGTCTCGGGCAAACTGAGATGTGTTGTCCACTCTACCCCAGGCCGGTCACTCTGCCTCCAGGAGGGCCCCGCTAATACGCCGGAGTTGTACTTCAAAAGGTGTCTAATTCTCCCCTGGAGGTACCGTGGCTTTGTTCCAGAACCCCCGGAGCCAGCTTTGTGGTTCTCCCACTGGGACTTGCCATGACTCTGTGAGGAAATCCACCCCGACGTTCTGATTGCTTCTGTCAAGGTCCCAGGTTTCCCAGCCCGGTGCTGACCTCGGGTGCGCACACCTGTCTTGGTTGGTTCGTCTCCTCCGACTTGAAGGCCCGGCTTGGTCCTTGGCCGGCCGCACTCTCCAGCTAGAGACGATGAGGGCTTCACTGTGAGCGGGCCAAGAGGCCCCCCGGCTTTCTTCCCTGACTTTCGGCTCCCTGTCGCCCATCCTCGGGTGTTCCCCATCTTCCGTGGGGAACGGCTCTTAGCGAGAGCCCCCAGTCCCCTGCAGGGCTGTATCCTCCCCACCTTTAGGTGCTTCGTATGCTGCCCTCACTGGTACGGTCGCTGTTAGAACACACCAGCCCGATTCACCACGGAGCCAAGTTCTAGCAACAGGACCGCGCCTGGTGCTGGAAACGGGTCTCCACTGCGGGTAGGGGCGAACGGGGCGGCTCTAAGCGCCATCTCACCGTCTGCTGTCTCAGATGGCCCAGTACCCATTGCTGCAAGGCTGGTCCTTCAAGTGAGACAGCTGGGGAGTGAGGCGGCATTACAGATGAAGACACCTAGAAGGGAACGGAGGAAAAGACAGGAGGGCCCCACGCAGAAGCTGATCTCGGGTGCAGGCCTGACGCAGCGCGGCCAGCCCAGCGAGGGGCTGTGCAGGGGGCGTCGGCGACAGGACCCAGCGCGCTGGCCCTGCGGCTTCTGTCGGGGGCGCCAACACCGCCGCCTGCCTGCTACCTGCACCCGCTGCCCGCAGCTGGGCCAGAGGCCCTCGGCGAAGGGGGCTCCGCACAGCGCACCGCCACACCTACCCCGAGCTCTCCTCTGACAATCAGAGCCCCCCGAAGAGGGTGGTGGCACTGCACGGGGCCCTAGGAAGGCAGGGGCCCCAAGGCGCACTGCGATTCCTGCTCCGGGGGCCTGCAGGGTGGGCCCTTCCACCTCCTGTCCTGGAAGAACGGGGAAGAGGGCAGGGAGGACCCGGAGAATAACTGTGTGCAAATTAGGAGGGAAAAGGAAGGAAAAGCACCACACGAGGTAAGGAGAAGAAAATTGAAAGCTGGTCTCTCGCCAGATACCCTCCTTCACTGTGTTTTCTTCCCCTTGGTTTCCAGTCTAAGACCCAGAAATAAAGCACCTGGACTGGGAATTTCCTTAAAGTGTTCTGTGAAAGAGCCAGACGTGTTTGCATGAACCTTTCTTCCCGGCTTCTGCCAGAAATGTTCAATCGAACTGTGACTGCTCTGCTTTGTATTCGGGTGTCCTAAAAAGGAGAGAGAAACCTCTTATCTTGTTCATAAACTCGGGTCCTAGGAATTCCACCCCTGGCCCTGTTGCCCACACTCTCAACCCCCGGTGTTTACCCCACACTGACCATCCTGCAGGGAACCCTTTGGGGTGACCAGCCGTGCA